AAAAAAACAATCCTTTAGTTAACAAATTGTTTAAAGAAAAACAAGAAAATTACTATTGATAATGACTATAAACAGCCTCTCACTGTTTTAAACATTTGTTAGTGAATGCACCATTGTTTCAATTTCCAGATTTCACCAAGCCTTTTCAGCTTACCACTGATAGTTCAGATTTCGCCATAGCAGCCGTGCTATCGCAAGGAAATATAGGTACTGATAATCCAGTGGCTTATGCAAGCCGAACTTTAAGTGAAACTGAAAGAAATTATAGTACAATGGAACGAGAACTACTCTCTATCTCGTGGGCAGTTAAACATTTTAGACCTTATCTTTACGGCAAGAAATTTTACATTTACACTGACCATAGACCATTAGCATGGCTTTATGAACTAAAAGAACCGAATAGTAAACTTACAAGACGAAGATTAAAACTTCAGGAATACGATTTCGAAGTTCTTCATCGTAACGGGAAACCGAACACTAATGCTTATGCAGTATTATGCACTGTCTAGAATCAAGGTCAATGTTCTAGGAAATTTAATTAGATCGAGAAGATTGATTAACCCCTAATTGAAACATCATCTAGTCAACAAAAAGATCAGCCTCTGAAAAATCGGCATCTGATCACAGAATACATAATAGTACAGGTACAGAAGACGCACTCCGCCATAGCGATTCAACAAATATAAATCTTTACGCGCGATAATAAAGTACAATTTCCTTCGCGCCGGCTTTGGATACCTACTTTTATATTAGCCTACTCATCGCGCGCGCAAGCAAAAATGAGCCGAATGGCTGCGCGCGAAAGTTCTTCTGCCGCTGGCGCGTCCTGAAGGTCACAGTCAGCGCGCTCAGTGGGGGTGTCACTTTCGAATTTTAAAGGAGGAAGGCAGATGGTTCAAAAACTCTGACATCAGGGTTCATCAGGTCGTTGTAGTAGTAGGTACCTAGATAATAAATAATAATTTTATTACATAGCTAGAATCTATGTAGGTACCTATTTTCTTACCTTTCGATATCACGCGGTAACTTGTGGAACTTGAGGTTTTTATCACTAGAATTATTCAAGCAATTATAAGCAATGCAGTATTTTCTTATTCTCATTTTCGCGTAATTTACGTAAATTTAGTACAAAGAAAGAATTAAGAGCGGCAACGTGGGAGCGCGTGCGTAACGAGCGGCGTGCGGCAACCCACTGATTAACCTCCCCGCGGGTGTCGCCGCACGTACTTGTAAATCTATACCTACGCAGCGGAGTGCGCCAGGCCTGCTTTCGTCAATGGGGCTTTTTCTGTTGACAGTAATGACAGTTCCCTAAGGGTCTTGGTAGTTCTGAATTACAAACTAGAGGGCGCTGCGAAAGACGGAAAAAGATGTTCCTTTCCTTTCCTTTCCTTGCAACCTCATAATCAATCAGTTAGATACCTCTTAAATCGCATTCCGGTTCGGCAAACTACTTTAGCATACACTGCACGCGACCGTATATAGCAATAGCAACTGTCAATATCGTCAATATCACTCAAATGACAAAATTTTACATCTTGCGCAGCGCCCTCTAGTTTGTAATTCAGAACTACCAAGAGAGCCTAAGAGAACTGTCAACAGAAAAAGCCCCATTATTTCTACGGCCTGGCGCACGCGCACTCCGCTGCGTAGGTATAGATTTACAAGTACGTGCGGCGACACCCGCGGGGAGGTTAATCAGTGGGTTGCCGCACGCCGCTCGTTACGCACGCGCTCCCACGTTGCCGCTCTTAATTCTTTCTTTGTACTAAATTTACGTAAATTACGCGAAAATGAGAATAAGAAAATACTGCATTGCTTATAATTGCTTGAATAATTCTAGTGATAAAAGCCTCAAGTTCCACAAGTTACCGCGTGACATCGAAAGGTAAGAAAATAGGTACCTACATAGATTCTAGCTATGTAATAAAATTATTATTTATTATCTAGGTACCTACTACTACAACGACCTGATGAACCCTGATGTCAGAGTTTTTGAACCTATCTGCCTTCCTCCTTTAAAATTCGAAAGTGACATCCCCACTGAGCGCGCTGACTGTGACCTTCAGGACGCGCCAGCGGCAGAAGAACTTTCGCGCGCAGCCATTGGGCTCATTTTTGCTTGCGCGCGCGATGAGTAGGCTAATATAAAAGTAGGTATCCAAAGCCGGCGCGAAGGAAATTGTACTTTATTATCGCGCGTAAAGATTTATATTTGTTGAATCGCTATGGCGGAGTGCGTCTTCTGTACCTGTACTATTATGTATTCTGTGACGAAAGTGAGAATGAAATAATCTCAGAAACTGGTACCTACATCACCTATTAGTAGGTTAGAATTTCTATACAAAAAAAATTCGCTTGGGAGTTCCCGTGCGTGTTCCAGGTCGGTTCCGCTTTGGAAACTAATCTTTAGGCTTTTCTTTACCTATGCCGAACCGGGGCTTTGCTGGCCAACTTACAAAAAAAAAAATAACAACCGTTTCAAAAAATTTTGTTATCTACACTAATATAATAAAGAGGAAAACTTTGTTTGTTTTTTTGTTTGTTTGTTTGTTTTTTTGTATGTATATAATCGATAAACTCCGAAACTACTGGACCGATTTCGAAAATTCTTTCACCATTAGAAAGCTACAACATTCCTGAGTAACATAGGCTACTTTTTACCACGGGAAAATTCCTCATTTCCACGGGAAAACGGTTAGCAGCAGGAAAAGCGGGAAATACAGCGGATATTACCCAAATAAGCCAAACCGCTTTACCGATCTTCGCGAAATTTGGCACTGATATTACTAGCATAGTAAAGATGGACATGAACTACTTTTTGTCAGCCCTCGAGGATCTGGAGTACGCGTACCTGATGAAGACCACCAGCATCCCATCTAAACTATAAAAGATACGGTCATGGCTTCATAGAAAAAGTTGTTCACCATGACGGGCCGCTTCTGCTGGCACATGGTCATCGAGGATCTGGAGTACCCGATGTAGACCACCAGCATCCCATATAAACTATAAGAGATACGGTAAAAGCGTCAAAGTAAAAGTTATTTAGCATGACGGGCCGCTTCTGCTGGCACATGGTCACGAGGGTCTGGAGTACCTGATGTAGACCACCAGCATGCCATATAAACAATAAGAGATACGGTAATGGCTTCAAAGTAAAAGTTATTCTGCATGACGGGCCGCTTCTGCTCGCACATTTACCTCTGCTGGATCGGAGTAATGGACTTTTTACTACGGGCAAAGATCCAATTTCTACGGGAAAACAGGTAAGTAGCAGCGGGTGAAACCGCTGGGCGGGCTGCTAGTTTTGTAATAATTCAAAAATGGTAAGAGCTACAAATAACTATTGTATGGAAGATATGTTAAGCGTAAATTTCTGCATATGAATGTTATCAATAACTTTTTCATAATCCAATAGTTTGCGAGAGAAACGTAGCACAACATGGCAGTTTTTGCTGAAAACTCACAAATTCGAAAGTATAAAGTAAGTAGTGAAGTTGGGGATTAAGAGTCACTCGCTGTGTGGGTAGACCATACTACAATATCCTGCCTGACATTTAGTAACAAGCTTTCCGCCCAGCGGTTTTACCCGCTGATATATTTTGAAGTAAACAAGTTAATTTTATACAAATTTTCGTCCTCTGTTTTACCACTTTAGGTGATGATTTTTTTGGAATCCTTACTTGATATTAATTAAGATTATTCAAATAACCTCTGTGCAAAATTTCAGGGTCCTAGGTCCAGTAGTATTGCCTGTGCGTGGTATACAATTTGTATGAAAAAAGTAGAGTTTGTTCGTTGTTGCCATATTTTGTTCTTTTTTGCTATCCTAACAGGACCTTGGGTCAGAACTATTAAAGAACAGCCTCAAGGGATTGCAAAAAATTAAAAATGTGGCAACTACGAACAAATTTAATATTTTTTTTACAAATTGTAAATCTATGCACAGGCAATACCACTGGACCTAGTTTCTTGAAATTTTGCGCAGAGGTTATTTTGGTTGGGTGAATTAACACCAGGAAAGGAATTTAAGAAAATCATCTCATAAGGTGGTAAAACTCAGGGTGTAAATTGGCAAAAAATTTGCTTGTTTACTTGAAAATATATTAGCGGGTAAAACCTCTGGGCAGAAAGCTTGTTACTAAGTATCAGTCAGGATACCGTAGCAAGTTCTACCCACATAGTAAGTAATTCTTAATACTTCACTATTTAATTCATATTTTAGATTTGGTGAGTTTTTAGAAAAAACTGCCATGTATAAAAGCGTTTTTTTCGCAAACTATTAGATTATCAAAAAAGTTATTAGAACAAGGTTGTGCAGAAATTTACGCGTAACATTTCTTCTTTCCAATGTTCATTTATAGCACTTACCAGTTTTGAGTTATTACAAAATAACAAAATTTTGGCCAATAAAAAAAGTTTGAAATGGCTGCCATTTTTTTTTGTAAGTATTCTAGCAAGGCCCCGGCTCGAAATAGCTAAAGAATAGCCTAAAGATTCGTTTAAAAGGCGGGGCCAAACTTACAAACTTACTTAAACGCGCGGGAACTCTCACTTAAGCGATCTTGCATACTATATTCCAATAATTACAATAGATTAAAAAAATAACCAAATATGCGTATTAAATTTGTTATAAAGATGAGATGCTTTAGTTAGCATATTTCTCGAGAAAATCAAAAGAATACCTACTAGAAGTTAGATTACCGCAAGATACTGAAAATGTCATGAAAGATTTTTTAAAGAATAATGTTGAGCAAGGAAAGAAATATTTATTCATTTTGAGGATAAATCTCACTTGAATGTTTTTAATAAAATCTTAAGCGAATTATTTTCTAATAATCCAGTAAATATAACGGAATGTGCGGAGCGCGTTATCTATGTCGAAGATGAAATGAACAAGTTAATGTATTTGAATTTTTAATGCACTTGCAGCGCTATACATATTACTCTCATAAATCGAAAATGAGTCTCTTATTGAGAAATTCAGCAGGGTCCGCTAGGCGCCCGTAGCTCAGTTGGCAGAGCGGTGGAACGATGATCCACATTCCACAGTCCCTGGTTCAAGTCCCGGCGGTCGCTAGTGAATTTTTAATTTTAGCATTTTCAATTTATATGAAAAAGTTAGCTGCACTAGGCGTATCATGAAGGAAAAACTTGTCATCTACATCTACACTAATATAATAAAGAGGAAAACTTTGTTTGTTTTTTTGTTTGTTTGTTTGTTTGTATGTAATCGATAAACTCCGAAACTACTGGACCGATTTCCAAAATTCTTTCACTTTTAGAAAGCTACAACATCCCTGAGTAACATAGGCTACTTTTTACCACGGGAAAATTCCTCATTCCTACGGGAAAGCGGTTAGCAGCAGGAAAACGGGGAAATAAAGCAGATATTACCCAAATTAGCCAAACCGCTTTACCGATCCTCGCGAATTTTGGCACTGATATTATATTACTATCATATAAAAGACGGACTTGATCAGCCCTCGAGGATCTGGAGTACCTGATGAAGACCACCAGCATCCCATATAAACTATAAGAGATACGGTCATGGATTCATAGAAAAAGTTGTTCACCATGACGGGCCGCTTCTGCTGGCACATGGTCATCGAGGATCTGGAGTACCTGATGTAGACCACAAGCATCCCATCTAAACTATAAGAGATAGGGTAATGGTTTCAAAGTAAAAGTTATTCAGCACGACAGGCTGCTTCTGCTGGCACATGGTCACGAGGGTTTGGAGTACCTGATGTAGACAACCAGCATCTCATCTAAACTATAAAAGATTCGGTAATGGCTTCAAAGTTAAAGTTATTCAGCATGACGGGCCGCTTCTGCTCGCACATGGTCACGAGGGTCTGGAGTATCTGATGTAGACCACCAGCACCCCATCTAAACTTTATTAGACTCGGTAATGGCTTCAAAGTTAAAGTTATTCAGCATGATGGGCCGCTTCTACTGGCACATGGTCACGAGGGTCTGGAGTGCCTGATGTAGACCACCAGCATCCCATCAAAACTATAAGAGATACGGTAATGGCTTCAAAGTTAAAGTTATTCGCCATGACAGGTCGCCTCTGCTGGCACATGGTCATGATGAGTAACTTCTGCTAGAATGGATTAATGGACTTTTTACTACGGGCAAAGATCCCATTTCTACGGGAAAACAGGTAAGTAGCAGCGAGTGAAACCGCTGGGCGGGCCGCTAGTCGTGGTATAAAAGAAACGCTTGCGCGTATCAAACGAAATCACAAATTGTCTGCTAACAGAGAAAGCGACCTAAATGTCAACCTTTAATTTATGGTCCTTAGGTAACCATAATTTTATTATGTACTTGCCTACTTAAAATTCATAAAATACTTTATTTTTAATCATTTTCAGATTTTACGACCGTAAAATTTTAAGAACAATTTTACGACCGGACCAAGGCTGTCGGTGATACCTTATCTACCTCCAGCCTCCCACCAGCTAGATATCTACTAGGGACTCATAGATAGATCACTTGCCATCATTCCCTCTGCAAGGCCGCCTTTATTTTTTAATATAGAGGTACATAGTTTAACTTTACTCTTTGATATCCAACAAGTTAGGACTCACTTAGGGCTCCACCAAGACCTATTTTCGTACACGAGACTACCAAAGAGTAAATCAACCCCGTCAGGCAAGATTTGCCTCACAATCACAGAACAGCACCGTTTACAAGTCCCTAATGCATACCTACAATCGTCCAACAACTTCTGAACAAACACATTTTATTTATGAAACAGAGTCAAGGCCAGTTCAGAGAAAATAACTGAGAACAACCTTTTTGGAAAACTTGCAAAATTTTCACCGCAGGCAGGAATTGAACCTGCGACCTTCGGCATCAGTACTGCCGACGCCCTAACCAACTGAGCTACCAGCCTATAACCTACATAGAATATCATTGACTGAGAACACTTCTATAATAGGTATCTATTATTATAAATAAAAGACTTGAACGGATTTTATGTCGTATATTAAACCGATACATAGGGGAAACAAAGAGGAATGTCTCTACGCGTCTCAAGGAACATTGCCGATGTGAGAAATCGTCGTGACAGACAGTCTGCAGTGTGGGAACATGTCATGGATAATCCCACCCATTATATCGACACAATACAGGTTCGACAAGGCTACGGGAAGCCATAGAAATTCAAAAACATCCGAATTTCAACCGAGACACTGGATGGGACATTTCAACAGCTTGGACTCCACTAATTACACAGCGGAAGAACCAGATCCAACATATCTACCTACTGCAAGACCTGCTTCACAAGACACGGTGTCTGCATTCTGCGTACAGCCGGAACGTTATGCTAGGCAATTAAGAAATAGATGGCGGTAGAACAAAATAATTTTAAATTCCATGACGTCTAAAACCTTAGTTATCCGAAACGTCGTCGGTTTAATTAAAATCGGTTTAATATACTACATAAAATCCGTTCAAGTATTTTATTTATAATGAGTGAAAGTCGTACAAACACAAGAAAATATTAGGTATCTATTACCTACTATTCATTTTTATTCCTGAGGTAAACGGATATAGATACCGGAAGCACGAGAGAGAGAGATTAGCAATAAAATTGCGCATAGAATTCTGACACTATTACTATTCACGGGGCGGCGTTAGTAAGCGTAATCAATCAGGTCATACATTATTATTATTAGGTACGTACGAGATTAAAAGACCAAGCAAGTGTGTGCCTAGGGAATGCAATCTCGAGCCGAGATTGACGACTCGAGATCTCGGTCGTGATCTAAGGGTTCGAGATTGACCAACTCGAGATCTCGTTGATTTATTGGTCGAGATCTCGGAATTTCGAGATCGAGATCGAGATTTTGTTTATCTTATATAGAGATAATCAAAATTAAACTTTCTTGCCATGCCATGGTACTGTTGTAATATTAATCATCTTGGGGATCCATCTCAGCTTCTAGGCCGAAAGTTGCGGTGTGTTACCCGACCCGAGCCGATAACCCGGGTACGCGATTCCAGCTCCTCGAGCTTCGACTGACTGTCCCACTATCCTAGTCAGTAGTATATCCCAGCTCTTATACTTTTTATCTGGGCCCGAATTCTGCTAAATAAAAATCGTTTCACTTGGATGCCGATGGCATGACAGTTGAATGGTTTCGTATTTGTTAACAGTTTTAGTATGGAAAATCACATTGGCAATAGAATAAGAATTGAGTGTCGCTTGCAATGGCAAAAAGATCAGATTTGAGGTCCTGTTATATTCTGTCCATTCCATTAGTTTTTCTTATAAATGTCTAACAATAAATAAATAATGCGCTCGGGGTAGATCGGCAGACACAGGAAACTATGCTACGCACAGCAATAAACACGTCAATGCCTTCAAGCTCAATCTCGAAATCTCGTTCAAAATCTCGACGGATACTGTCGAGATCTCGAAGGATTTTTCTGAAACGAGATTTCCTATTTCGAGATCTCGATCTCGAAAAATAGCTCGAGATCTCGGTGATTTCGAGATCTCGCGAGATCGAGATTGCATTCCCTATGTGTGCCTAATTAAAAATATAAATAAGAATAACATTAACATTTTTCTGCCCCATTCTGTTTCGAACATAGATCTACTATTCCGCTGAATCTGAGGTAAAACATTCCATAAATTATTTTATTACTTTAGCCTACAATATTGGCCATTGTGTAGTGTTAACTCACGCACGGCCCGCCCGACGGTCACGCTTAGTTATGGTAAACCATAACATTATTACATTGAAGTAAGCTGAACCGATTCCAAAAAGCAATATAAAATATTGGTTTTATGAGACTTAGTAGATGTTTATAGCCACACATGCCGGTTGCGTACGCACTGCTATCTGGTTTTATACCAGAAAATATTATGCCACAGAATACATAATAGTACAGGTACAGAAAACGCACTCCGCCATAGCGATTCAACAAATATAAATCTTTACGCGCGATAATAAAGTACAATTTCCTTCGCGCCGGCTTTGGATACCTACTTTTATATTAGCCTACTCATCGCGCGCGCAAGCAAAAATGAGCCCAATGGCTGCGCGCGAAAGTTCTTCTGCCGCTGGCGCGTCCTGAAGGTCACAGTCAGCGCGCTCAGTGGGGATGTCACTTTCGAATTTTAAAGGAGGAAGGCAGATAGGTTCAAAAACTCTGACATCAGGGTTCATCAGGTCGTTGTAGTAGTAGGTACCTAGATAATAAATAATAATTTTATTACATAGCTAGAATCTATGTAGGTACCTATTTTCTTACCTTTCGATGTCACGCGGTAACTTGTGGAACTTGAGGCTTTTATCACTAGAATTATTCAAGCAATTATAAGCAATGCAGTATTTTCTTATTCTCATTTTCGCGTAATTTACGTAAATTTAGTACAAAGAAAGAATTAAGAGCGGCAACGTGGGAGCGCGTGCGTAACGAGCGGCGTGCGGCAACCCACTGATTAACCTCCCCGCGGGTGTCGCCGCACGTACTTGTAAATCTATACCTACGCAGCGGAGTGCGCCAGGCCTACAGATGTAAATCAACCGGTTTAAAACGTTTAAAACCAAATTTCGCGGTTTAAAACCTGAAATCAACCGTTTTCAACCGTTTAAAACTCGCCTACAAAAAAAAAAGTTCTGTGTTTTACATACACATACATACATACACAAATCACGCCTTTATCCCTTGCGGGGTAGGCAGAGCGTAAACAGCCGTAGGTACCTACAATACAGCCGCTATCGCCACGTCTGACTAATATTTCAGGGCCGTTGTAGAAAAATCGTGCCGAAATGCAAAAAAATTTTTTGCCGAGTAGGTACTTAGGTATGAATTTTTGTATGGAACATCCAAATTATTAATATAACCCTGTATATACAAAATTCGGTGTTTCCAACGATTTTACACTGACTTGCTCATCATAGGTTACCTACGCTCGGGCCTCGGAGCGACAAACTAGGTAATAAACCCGCAAAATCACATCATTAATCCATTTCAGTGATCCTTACCTTTGTAATATTACGAAAATGTATTAAAATCAATAAAACATTGTTATCAACCATCCGCCGTTTTAAACC